CCTGAGAAAGAGGAAGGACTATGTGCTAGCACAATTTGATGGAGAGACACGCTAGACTTGCAAATCTGCACATCAGTGAGGCTTCCAATAGAGAACAAAGCAGAAAAACAGACCTGGGAGAGCAATCTAAATAAATATTGGGTAAGTGTAGGGAACTGTGTGGAGAAAACAGGAGCTTTTGTGCAGAACTGACCCATAGATTAGCAAAGGCAGCAGAGTCCTGAGTCAAGTGTCATGAGAGAGGCACAATAGGTGATGAAATTCTGGGGAAGAAGATAGGGGCCCTGTCAAATAAAAGGTGGTTTAAATGTCTTGTAACAAGCAATACGATATGGAGCTGGCCTGTATTTGCTGTTTTTTTGACATGCAAATTGGCCATGAGTTGTTCTGTTTTGCCAACATAAAGTCATAATACATGTACAGTACTTACTCCAGTAAAGGCTTTTGGTTGTTTTTTTTGTTGGTTGTCCTTGGGGTTCTTTTTGTAACAACAGTACCAACATTACAATTTTTGGGGAGGCTATTTGGAACTACACAGGCACCTCAAAGCGTGCAGAAGGTGTCTGTGACAGAGCCACTGTTTCTGATTTAACATTTCAGACTAATTCTGCAGCAGGCTGGATTAAATTATTCCAGCTGGCCGGATGCTTCTCATAGGCTGTCTATCTGACAGTCCTGCTTCTAAAAATATCAGAAGTTGGATTTGCAACACTGATCTCTCTGATAAGTAATCCTTTACTCTCAGTAGAAGTTCCCCACTCACATAGAATATGCCTGCAGTTAAAAAAATTGCCGTAGTAGGAGAAGGCTGGTATTTCAGAATTTCCAGCCTCCCCCTTTGATTCCCATTTTTTTTTTGGCTTTCTTAGTGGCTTTGAGCAGCAGCAAAAGTAAATCTCAGTTCTGAACTGTGTGTATAGCTTTTGGTACATATTCATTAATCCAGATACTATTCTGGCTTTCATTTGATTTCTTATGTAGTTGATGAAATCACACTGTGTTTATAATCTCTCTCAGTGGGTTTTCGAAGGGTAACTTGGCAGACCAAGAAGAAGAAAACAAGTTTTTTTCATGTGTTGTAGACTATAGTCTCTTGTTTGAAAGTCTCCAGCCATTGAGTTCATGGAAAGTGCATAACTACAAATAATTAAGCTCCTTGACTGTCTGGCTTCATATTGATAAGGCTACTATAATGCACAGCCATAAAGTGGTTGAAGATCTCCTGCAGCACATTTTTCATTTTTCTGCTTAGGAAAAAAAAAATAGTATGGATTTTTATGCCTTTGCCACATGGTCAAGTTAAAAGGTCCCATTTTCACCATGAACCTTGTGAAGGTTGTTACCTTTTTATTTTAACAAGTGCCTCAAAAGCCCTCTGGTAAATTCTGCTGTATTTTGTACTGCTGCTGTCTGAAAGGAAGATGGTTTTTCTCATTAAATGATACAGACTCTGAAGCATCAAAACCTGTTTTGCATAGAGACATTAGGCAGCAGACACAAATGACTGGTGTCTTAGTTGGTGACTTTGCTTAAGCCAAGATTTTCTTTTAATCATTATACAGTAGGATGCTTATGCAAAGAGTAGGGAATTAAACACACTCAAGTATGTATCAGAGGGACAAGTAAATGCTTGATTTATTTATTTAAGCATTCCAAACCCTGCCTTTCTTTCCATGTTAGCAGTGCCAAATACACTGATGATAATCTGATACACAAAGCCCCTACACTCAAACTGTTTAAGCATTAGTTCAGTTTTCTGCCTACTAGAGCGATAATTAGGGGCTAAAAGGTAACCAGATTATTGTAGAGATATCTCTTGACAGCCTTTAACACCTAGTTAAATATTAAAACCTGGAAATTACAAGCCTCTCAGTATCATTCAGACCACAGTATATTTTGAAGCAATTTGCTATTCCTAAATAGATTGGTTTTCATTCCATGGTACCACTCCAGTGCTCTCTAGCTTGCTCTGAGTGCCTATCCACTTGCAGAACATCTTCACTAGGCAAAAAAAGTCCCTAAGGACAAACTTCTTGCTTAGTGTGGATGCTAGGTGGGATTTCCAGATGTGTAAAGAACATTGCAGTTTATCCAAGATATGTTGGGGCTGTCTAAAATCTTCTGCTTTGTCTGCACTTGGATTTAATTTAGGTGTGTTTGAGCCAATCTAATAGTTTGCCAGTGCTGCGAGGCAGGGGTACTGCTCTCTCCCCTGGCCTCTTCCCAGGCTGCCTTTCTCTCACTGCAGTGTGCTGGCTTTACATGTGTTGGAGACCTCGGTGAAAATGAGGGGACACATATGGATGGGAGTGGAGGGAAGGAGGAGTAGGAACAATCTGATTGTGACCTACTGGAATGGATCCTGCTTCTTGGGTAACTTCATCTTCTTGGGAATTGTTTCCACAGCAAAACAGGTTTCAGTAAAACCCGTAGTAGGTTTGTCCGACACGACTAACAACAGCAGTAAGAAGGCAGTGTCATGGGGAGTTAGTGTGCAATTAGCAGTCCAACAGAGTCATCCTGCAATGACTTCTCTTTGGTTGCCTACACCTGCTAAAGCCTAAGCCAGCAAATATTCATTGCTGTTCTTACCTGCACTAGCTAAATTAAACTAATGCACTTATGCCGTTATTTTTCTTTACCCCATCTCCTCTGACAGCATTTTCCAATGCAGAAGTGAATAGTAATTAGCAGCAACAGTCTTGGAAGCATACGTTACATTATAAAAACATGCACTCTGCCATACAGTCAGCTAAGCTTGTTTACAGTTTTCTTACTACAGTTGCTGGGAGCTGTAGACATTACATCTTCCAGTGCTGAGCTTATCGAAAATCACTTATGTATACAGAGAGAACTTGTATGGGTGGATGTGTATTCTAAGAACACAGCTGCTGTCCTTCACTGAGAATTTGCAGCCGTGCCATTCAGCATGATTGATTTGAATCGGTGCTTGTACTTTGGAAACAGTATGTGTTCTGTATGATTAACTGTGCAGATGTAAGTTCAAATTAGCAATTAATACTTGACCTTATTTGGAACTTACCTGTCCAGCTGTCCCAAACATCTATCTGAAACTCAAAAATGCATCCTTAAAGGACAGGATTCATCTCACCATCTGAAAAGGAGGCATCTAGTCTAAGCTACTTGGCCTGTTGTTTGTCTCTGCTCTGTTGCCAAGGGAGATGCCTCTCCACAGAGTGATTTGTCCTGTCCTAAGCGATGCTTCTCTGGCTATCAGGAATGATCATCCTCTGAAGGTGCTAATCTCTTTCTATTCAGTGCAGGAGGAATTCAGATAATTAGATGAATCCTGCATATACTGAGGATCCAGCTGTGCATGACTGACTGACAGTGGTTGACTTAGCTAGGTTTTCAGCTCTTATTAAGAAAAACTTGAGGACTCTGTTAGCAAATACCAAACATTAATAGTACTTCAAAACCAGAAGAGCATAGGTAAGTCTTAACATTAAATATCTCAAAACAATACTTTATATTTTTATCTTTTGTTATAGTCTATAACTTACGAATTTATGACTTTAAAATTCTTTAAAAAATATCTGAAACGATGCTGATACATCATGTCAAGTGCCATGGTATGTCTCAACCAGATTTTTACTTTCTTGTTCAGTCAACTTGCTTTTGTTTAAATGTTGCTCTTCTGTAAATCTGAATAGCAAAGTAAAGTCCTTATTTACTATAGAATACTTAACTTCCAGCTCTTAAAGGAGTAATACATTATATGTTCACTTATCTTAGAATTTAACAAAGGCAACCACAAATCAGTTCTGAGATGTGAATAATTTCATGAAAAAGCTGCCACTGGCTATATTAGACATCTATGTAGCTGATAAAACAAAGCAAATGATTACCATCAATTATAATACCATCATTTGACAACTCTGCAATTAATTTCCTACTCTTAAATAACTGCTGTTGCACAGTGCCAAAGAAAATGCCATGCATTAACTGACTCATCACTAGAGTTTGTGACAGATAGTACAGATGGTAATTTGATTATTCATCTCCAAGAAAATAAGTGCTTTAGTATGAAAAACTACTCATTTTGGTCTTCTGAAAGAATGGTAACTGGGATACCTAGAGTGTCTTTAAAAATAATCCCTACAATAATATACAGTTATTCTAAAGCATTGTTTTATTTGTTAAGATTTGTGGAGTCGAGTTGTGTGCTCAATAGTTCACGGACACGGCACAAGTTGAAGGATGGGGTACTACAAAACCCATGTATCTCTTCTATGTATAAATGCTCCTGTGTAAGAAGAATGGAAAGATTCTGCTTTGCCTACCAGAAAGTCTGCGGAGTTTACTATACATCTTGAAAAGGTACTCCATATATGAGACTAAAATATTTATCCAGCATGAGTAATGGGCCATCCTGCAATAGCTATCAGGATCATTAAATTATGGTCTTGCCTGGGACAATTACAGGCATGTATTTAAAATACAAAGCAAGCACCAATTCTGCCAGGGTTTACTTGTGGAGTTAACTTTATTTCTTGAACAGACCAACAGACTTATGTGGAACCGTCTCTAAAATTAAATATCACCTTGTTTTAACATGAATCAAAGTCAGAATGATACTCTATAGAAAGTGTTACACACCAGTGAGTAGCAAAGGTAGCACTTTTCTAAGAACTTGAAGCACTTTCAGTATTACTTTGTGGTTAATCTTGTATTTGCACTTACTAAGGATATAAAGGACCCATCAAAAGATATTTGATTACTTTGAAAGTAGCACATTATGAGAATATAGGATGTCTGTGCATACAATAAATACAACAGTTTCATTTTTAGATATGAGTTACACAATTTGCATAGGCAAAAAAAATAATAATAAATAAAAGAGTAATTCCCTGATTTTCAGAATGGATAAAGGGAAACAAATTTTATGAATACAAATTAGTTTGCAAATACCTTCAGGCAGAAACGGAAAGTGAGTAATTCATACGGGTTCATTTGTAACTTCAAATGCATTGACGTACCTCCCCAGAGAAAGCCTGTCCATTGAGCAGGTGCTCTGATCCCTGGCTGTCCTCACTTCCAAAGTGTAACCGGATTTCCTCTAAGCGGTGACTGTATGTCATCGGTCCTCCAGAGATGTTGACCAAATGCTCTTTGTCTAATCGTAGAGATACATGTCTCCCTGTGTTATACATCGTCCCACTGACCTAAACAAAATGGGAGGGGGGGAAAAAAAAAAAAAAGAAGCGTTTTTTCAAAATGATTTGTAAATCCTAGAAACTAGTTATATGTACTTCAAGATTTTGCTCTTTACAGACCTTCCTTCAAATGTAGCCACACATCTTATTGTTCGGAGATGAAATACTCAACCTGAGGTTATACTTCAGCTTCTGTTTTGAATCTTATACTGTATATTCAATTATTTTGCTAAATCCATATACATATTTTTTGATTTTGCTAAATCCATACGTACATATTTTAGCCAGAGGCACATGGTTGGCACAGTGAACAGGATTATTACACTTCTAAGTAAGTAGGCTTTTAGACTATTTTTCATGCAAGATCTGAATAATGGCTTCTATACAAAATTTCTGCACTGAAAATGGAAACATTTCAGCCGACATAAATTATTTAAGTACACTTGAACAAATCTGATATTTAACTCATTTTTCCCTCCTTTTAATATTTATAATAAAGTTATCTAAAAGTAAAGGTGCTGCAAAACCCAGAGATATAATTATTCATAAATAGACCCATTCCTACTGGATCTGCAGGTAAAAACTTTCACGGTCCTCTGCAAGTCTCTTTGTTTTGTTATGAATATTTTATGTTTGCAGTTGACAGATATTTTAACTATAGCATTACAGAATTAATTACAATTTGACTGTATAACTCCAGTTCCTACTACACCTCAAATAGCTGTAACGCTCTTGAAGATCCATCTTTATTTTTAAAAAGACTGAATATTGTGCTTCATTTACAAACTGATTTACAGCTGCTGTAATGAAAAAGAAAATGATTGGGGAAATTTTTCATATGGAATATAATTCTGTCATAATTTCCACTGTCATAGGAAAAGTTCCTATAGCAAGCTGTTCCTTAATTTATGCCATTAGAAAGTGAAATTATGCCAGTTTGAGTTAAAGTAGAATTGTGATTTATTTAAAAACTTTCTGCATGGATACAAATGGTACACTTGAATGACATTCATTTACTTTAAGAAGAGGAAGCACAGCAATAATATGCTTTGTTGCACTTCAATTTAAAATTAAAGACATGACTATTATGTATTATATCCTATACTACATCAGTACTATAGTAATTAACATTGCTGCAGTGTCATTTTATCTGTAATACTAATTACTGAGTTTAAATGACCTGTTTTCTTGCACAGTACGTTGTAAAAAGTTACACTGAACAGACTGTGCAATAGAACTAAATGGTTGAGATTAAACAGCTTTTGATAGTTGGGGGTTTTTAAAAACTTTGATACAGATGTTCTATTTTTTTGTGTTTATTCCAATTCAAAATAAGCAGTCATAAACTTCTTACAAAAAGTAAACCACAAATACTCTTATTCATTGCAAATAAAACCCAATGATCTTATTTATAAATGTTCCTTAATTTTTCTGCTTGACTTTGCACGCCTAATAATTAAATACCAAGCTTAGTTTAATAGGTGGAAGAAGGTCAGTTTATTGAATTCAGTTTCAGTACACTGCATATGAATGTCATAAAATTGCTAATCATAAGTAACAAATGTAGTTTAAAAACAAATAGGGGAAAATGGTTTGAAGACTCTTATTCACAATTGGAAACTCGCTTCGCTGAACACTCAGTTAAATTTAGCAACTACGCAAAATATTCAGAATCCATTTTCTTGCTTAAATTGGTACAAATCTCAAATTAGGTTACCGTTATTTTCTCTCTCAAGGTAAAAGTGACCCAAATAACCCCTAATATGGCTCAAATAACTCTCTGTAGAGCAGAGAGGGGAAATGATAAGAGGCAAATTCATGAACAGGAGTAACATTTGTCTTTCTCATTTCCCCCCTCATAAAAATGCAGTGCTTGTAATGAGACTGTATTGACTGTTTTAAAACAGAATTTCCCTATGTAAGTGCAGATGAAGAACACCAGCAACGCAGCGAGGAACCCGATGTGCCTCATTTCTGACTCGAACAGAGGGATGAACACTTGGAGTGACACTATAAAAATCTTCTGCATGGGCACACAGGCTTGTCACCAGGAAGGACAAAATCCAAGATCTTCAATATCAAAAATGCAAGGTCTTGCCCTCTTATCTGCCTTCTTAGGTTTAAGTGAAGCACTAGTTTTTTCGTTATGTGTGCCCAAGGGAAGAGTAGCTGCATATACCAGTCTAGATTCAGGACCAAATTGCACCTTCTGGACACACCTGTTTTTTTTCTTGAGTGCAAACATATACCACCATTACTAGCAACTTTTAATGGGAACTTCTTTTATGGGCATTCGCTTACTGCAAGAAGAACAGAAGTGTCTTATATTTGCCATCTACTCAGATTATATCTGAATGAAAGATTGAAATATCGAGAAACTTTTTCAGAAAATTATTTCTGGACACGTTCTGACTTGCCACGGTGGTATGGTAGGCTGACCTTGATTATGGGAAGTACCACTATAACGTTGTGTGGAATTTTTTACTGCAATTCAGGATATTTTCTGGTTTACATACAAACCCAATATCTTATCACCTTTAAAAGTGTAGGTTTCAAGTATAACCATTTACAGTTGTTAGCATCTAGTATCACATTATGTGCAATCACCTTCTGTTTGTAAACTCAAAGTCCACAAATGCATTATACTCAGTAGTAAATTGTCATGCAAAAAACAATGTAAGAAAAAAAGTTTGTCTTCCGTTGTTTTCAGCAGAAAACAGTACGTAGTCCTTTCAATGTTCACTAACTGCTACTGGAGAGATAGAAGGTTCTGATCTTATTCACTATGTGAACCTACTGCCAAAAGAAGGATTTTTTACTTATTTTATGGTACTGAGCCTTTAAAGTGATGGTGCACTCTCATTTTAGAACATCAAACTGAGTTGGTTTTGTGGAAAGCAAAGTTGCATATGGTCTTGTAAGAGGTCATAGGCACAGAAGCTAATGAGAAGGTACTTTCTGTATTTTGTACATTCTCCTACAAAATAAACAGTATGAAGACAGGGGCACCTTATGGGAAAGATGTTGACTCTGACTGGTACAGTCAGCAATAGCGGCTACTTCAGAAAGCATACTAGTTATTTTTTATAACATTCTGTGGATTGGATAAAACGTTATAGAGTAGTTTAAATGGATAATATAAAAGGTCTCTTAAGATCTGTATAAATATTTCCTTAATGTGTCAGACTAATCTTTGGTGCCAAGTGCTTCACAGTGATGGCCTTTGTGCCGCTTCTTGCTCTGCTATTAAGTAACCCTTTTGTTCTGTGTTTCTGTTTGACTTGAAAGTTTATATAAAGATGAAAACACAGCAAACAAACTTGGGGGAAAAAAAACCTGCTAAATCTTGCCCTCCTGTTTTTCAAAAGATCAATATTAATGTTTATCTTATGCACTAGAAATGAGGCTGCAGTAAAAAAAAAACATCAGTAAAGGCTTGTCTGAGAAAATGGTGAAGTCCAACATTGTCATAGTTAATGACCATGCCACATTCTTAGTTGACCCCATTTTTCTCATAGACTAAGAAACTTTTCCAAACAGGTAATTTTACCTGTGGCAAAATCCCCAAGGAGAACAGAGCATGCTGATGGGCTTCAACCTTAATTGTGGAATAGTTCAACTTCGGTAGACTTTAATTAAATTATTAACATATTCCTGATGTAGTTATTTTCTATTTAATCTCATTACTTTTAATTCTTGCTTCACAGAGCTTTGTGCACATAATTCCCCAGCAGCATTATTCTCTCTTTATCTTGATGCAAGGCAGCCACACAGGCACATGCTGCTAATATATTCTAAACTACATTTCTGAGTAAGATTGGAATACTCATGTGGTCCTGTGTCTAACTTGCTGGTCCTGTGATCACAAAAAGTCCCAATTCTGTGCTTTGAAAGGTGGAACACAAGCAAAGTCAATACAAAAGCATACCTTACAAACATGAACTCTTTGATGCATATTTATCTTGAAACTCTACAGACCTTTATGACCATTAGGAAAAAAACAGCCAACCAACCAAAACAAACAAAAAACCAATACTGAAACATTTTTTTCTAATGATGTTCTTTAACACTGCATTTCTGGCAGCATTTTTATTGCATCCCAGTTAACTGTGTATCTTCTTCCCTTCATCTTTTCTTCTACAACTAGTCCTGAACTAAGTATTTTTCAGAACTTCCTTCGTGGCCTACATCTTTACATTACAGTCTGTGTTAAAATAGCCTTCAAAACCTGGAGCAGGAGAAGGGACAGGAAAAGAAGCCTGTTTCTGGGTGAAGCCATGACAGAAATGTAAGCAGAGAATGGAAGAGGAAAGTAGAAGGACCTGAGATGGAATCTCTGCCTTTCAATCCCACGCTACATGAGCAGTTCCCTGTCACCTTTCTGCAAGGGGTAGCACAGGCTCTCTGCTTCCTAGGGGCCTTTACAAAATAACTAAATAGTGCATTTGGGATTTTTTCAGGTGAGAGTGGTCTGAAGATTAGTTCCAAGAACATTCTTAAACTTGTCTCAGTACCTGCCAGTGGAGCAGCATTGCATGGAAGGAAGCAAGAAAATCAATTGTGTATGGCTGCCTGCTGTGGTGTCCTTGGATCGTATCTGCAATATTAGATGTTCCTTTCTTTAGGATGAAAATAGATAGTCCAAAGAAGGCTTAGTACTGTGTAGGGAAGCAAATCACCAAGGATTGAAGTATGTTTTGAAGGTGTCGTAGTGCCCCAGTTTTATGTCTTGCAATAACTGGCCCCTTGGCTTCCATATTTCCCTCCTGGAGCCCCGTATTCCAGCAGAACAGGAAAGCAGCTCTGCAGGCTCAGGGAGCATGGGCCTTCCTCCCCCATCAGCTCCTAACACCACACACTCCGTCGCTCCTTTGGGTTTCTGCCATTCCGTAGCAATAGCAGCGGGTTCCTAAGGAACTCGTAAGGCACCACTGGGTTTCTGCTTTCCTTTCATTTCATGGTTTTGTTGGTGGTTGTTACTATCTTGACCAGACCATATTCTGTGATAT